AGGCGCTGTCTTGGGGGAGAGCTGGCAAGGGAGGTCCACTGCTGGCCCTTTCCCCCGAGCACCCAAGCTGCCGCCGAGCGATGCCTGAGAGCAGAGCTCGCTCCCGGCCCATCCTCAAAGAGTGCCTCCAAGCCGCCAACAGCAGCTGCCGCCGCCGCCTCTTCCAGGGAAGTGGCTCTCTGGCTCTCTTTCTCTCTCGGCACCCCCAGCACCAGCCTGGCCAGTGGCCGCCTCAGCGCCCGGCAATGTTTCCTCCTCCTCCTCCTCTTCGTCCTGCTTTCAGCTGCCTCGGCTCTGGAGGGTGCCTGGGATCGCCTCGCAAAGTTTGCTCCTCTGTTGTGGTGGGGATAGCTGCCGCCGCCAAGTGCACCTTTTTTGAAGCAGGCCCTCAGAGAAAGGTTGCCAGACCTGTCTGTACATGCGTGTGCTGTTTAATTTTGCAGGTACCGGTGGGGGCTTTTCTCCTTTGGCAAGGTGAATTCTATGAGGGTTTTAAAATTTTTTATGTCGTCCCCCCCCGGCTAGGTGGTTGGCGGCACTCCCTCCCTTCTCCACTTCTTTGCCCTGCTGCTGCTGGTGTGGTAGTGAAGAAGGAGCCAGGGGGGTTGTGGCCAGCGACGAGGGCTTGCGTGCCCCTCCTCCTCCTCCTCCTCCTTGGAGCCCCAGCCGGGCTAAGGAAACTCCTGGGCGGCTTCCTCAAGCTCTTGCTCCGCTTGATGGAAAATCTGATGTGGCACAGCCTCAGCCTCCAGAGGCCCCCCAGGTAAATTGAGTTTGAGACCTCTGATCTACAGAGATTTCAACTTGAGGCAATTTGCCTCCATAAGTGACACCTTTTGCATAGCACCAGAACAGGATTTCAGCCAGAGTGCCTTAATTTTGTTTATCATCCATAGCTTTGTCAGACACTTTTTAGGGAAGTGCACAAGTCCATGGTTGTTTATGCCCTTCTCTTGTGCCTTGTTGTTCACACATTTCACACAGATGACATGTACATCCTGGTATACATCAAGTCAAGATTCCATCTTATCTCTGAACTGTGGAATTGGCTTAATGCTGGGCTATAAACCCAGAAAATAAGAGAAGATGTGATCAAGCCAGGATCTTTATTCCAGCCGGGGTGCAATCAGAAGCTAGGAGAGATGTGGGAAAGCTAAAATGCTCATCCACAACTTCATAAACCATCTTTATTAAAAGCAACTTAGCTATCCTTGAAACATTACCTTCCTCATCTAGGCTACAATAGCTCTGTCCCTCTGCAAGAAAGTCATGCTTTTCATCTTTCCAGTCATGGCTAACCACAGATACGAATTCTTGTGAGGTAGCCTTCAGAGCAGCAATGGAATTGCATCGTTTCTTAGAGGGAGAGGACTTTAAAGCTGTATTTAAAAGAGAAGAAAAGACAAATAAATTAGGCATGGATCCTTATGATCAAGAGGTGAAACTTTCAGTATTAGCTCCATAATCAATTCTATCCTGTTCAAACTCATACAAAATTCTGCTGGCTGTCACAAAAGACATTGCTCTAACTATTACTATTGTCCAAAAATGTTGTGCAAGAATGTAACTGAAAACTCTACAATACAGGCCAGTATAAATCCGAGAAATACGGGCTTACAACAATAGAGTAATAAAACATGAACTAGATGTTTTAATGGCAAAGGACTACTAAGAGGCTAAGAACCTTGCCACATAATTTATTCCCTTAATAACGGATGACATTTATCCCACTTTTTATCTGGAAAGCATTTTATTACATAAAGGATTTTACGAACATATAAGCCCAATTTTTTCTTGCAAATAAAACTGTAAAGTGGAAACTTTTTTTACTCAAACCACAATACACCAAATCTCAAAATATAATTATTCTGGATATCAGAAATTATTACAAAAAGCTTTTATAAAGTTTTTAGCAAAGATAAATACTGATATCTGTGCCTATACAAATAGAAAATGTTATTTGTACCTAAAGATCTCTAAGAGCAATACAAGTTAATGTTCTGCTCATGCAAGTAAGTTCCATGCTCATATTGAAAAATATATTTTCTTCTTCTCATCCTGTCTTTGGCACAGAGGTAGAAGGCATGGCAACAGGGCACTTTTCAGGAAAGAAAATATCTGCTTTTATACACGGGTGTGTGTGTGTGTGTGCGATACAGGAAACATGCAAGGAGTCGACATTTCTTGGATCAGCCTGCTGTAATAACTGGCATTTGCCTGGAAGTGGCTATATGTTATGAAAAACAAGACAGGATTATCCCCAAGGAAAGTGATGGGAAATGTGTGCCCTTCCAGATGTTGGACTGCAATTCTCACAGGTTCTTACCACTGGATATGCTTATGACGGCTCAAGAATAGATTCCCAATTCCCAATTCCCACCCACAGCAGAATTGCTATAAGCATGCTTGGACCAAGAAGATTTGTACTGATCTGGTCTTGTGCACAAACTTGTGTAAATGTGTTCAGAAAATCACTGTGTTGCAAAACTACATGAAACCTCGAACAGATTACTGGCAACCAGACTGCAAGGCCTAGTAGGGTTAACCATAAGCATTGTCTTTGGACAAAACGCTGGCTCTATGGCTTGGAAACGGGGATGAGCACTGCCCCCTAGAGTCAAACACGACTGGACAAAAATTGTCAAGGGGAACCTTTACCTTTATCTTACTTGTCCGCTGTGCCAGCAAATTATCACAAACATGTCTACATGAGCAGCAGAGGCATATTACAAATCTAATCACTAAGGAAAACACCATCAGAAAATGTTAAGGTGAGGTCATGAATGACAGCTTACACATTATTTAAATTACTGAGAAAGCTGTGTGAAAGCTGATCCTCTGAGCATGATCAGTGGCATTTTATGTAAATTAAGAAGAAGCCTGCTGGGTGAATCCACAGTTCCATGTGGTTCAGCACCTCTTCTCCCAAGAGCAGGTAGCCAGCTGTGCAAAACCCATGGCATAGTAGAATGACAAGAGTTTTCTTTCTCTCCCTCTTTTTGTCTCTGAATGGCATTTAACACAGGGATCAGCTCCCTCTCCTTCTATCAGGTAGATCAGCCTTACCCAGATTGGTGCCTCCACATGTGTCAGACAGCTTCCACAATTCCTCTGTCAGCACAGTAGAGCAGCACATTTGGGTAAGTACAATACAGAGATTGGAAGTTTTGCTTTTTTTTTTTTTTACAACAGTGAGAATCCAACCTGGAGAATTTGGGGAGATGTGGTCTCCCAAAAGCTCTTCACCAGGATAGTGGTAAATAATGATTAATACTGAATATCTATTGACAAATGCCTAGCATCACACAAAGTTTATTTTCAAATGATATCCATAGGATAAACATGAAGACTGGCTCATAAACTCCTAGGTGGAAATGAGACGGCACTTACTCTGATTTTTTTTGAATACCCTGGAACTCATAAACTTTAAAAATCTGTCAGCATAAAAACTTGGCCTGTGAACTGAAACTGTGTCCTGTAAGAGAGAGAGAAAGAGAGAGAGAGAGAAACCTATATGAATGTGTGACCTTCAAAAGGTCTCATCATTAACAGCCCCCCCTTAGTTCTTGCAAAATAAGGAATCATCTAACTAAAACTAAACACCCTCTCTCACAATCCAATTATCATTGCCAAAATCTACAACACGTCTTCAAACCACGAAGTCTGATAAATAATATTGATAGAATATCAAATTCATTTAACCAAATTGTTAGGGAAAGCTGAGGATTACTCCCTCTATCTAAACACTGAGGTATTTTTTTAAGGCTTACTGTGCTGTTTTTCTCCTTTCTCTGTCAGATTTAGTATGAAAATAGGCATTCCAAATGCCTGAATAAACTGCAAGTCCTTTTGCAGGCCCTAGTTTGATCAGGACTAAAAATAATAAAGGTGTGAAAATAGGTCTTCAGAAATACCAGCACTATAATTTTCAGAAGGATTAGATTGTTGTCTATTGTGTATAACCATTTCAGTATGGAAATGTTTTAACATTTTTGCCATATATATACTGTATTTTTCAATGTATAAAACAACATGTTTACCTAAATAATTAGATAAAAAATTGAGGGTCATTTTATACATGGAAGGCAGCCACTTTCCCTGCCTTTTGCGAAGCCAGGGGGCTTAACAAAAAGGAACGGAAGGCTCCCTTCAGGTAAAGCAGCCGTGAAAGGGCTGCACAATCCCTTTGATCTGATCCTGAAGCCCTTTCATGACTGCTTTACCCACTTCCTAAGCCCTGCTTAGGATCAAAATTTTCTAATTTGGGGGTTAGAACAGAGGGGTGGGGATCAAATTTTCTAATTTGGGGGCTAGAAAAGGGGGGGGGTCGACTTATACATTGGGTCGTCTTATAAACGGAAAAATACGGTAGTTTATGTAGACATTAATCACAGCAAAACACAACTGTCTAGTCACGATCCCCAATCTAAAAGGGACTTGGCTACATTCCCTCTTTGCCTCTCCCCTTCATGGTGTGTGATGGTTGTCCTTCAGTCAACATGTAGGCTAGAGGCCAACATTTGTCTTGGTTATTTTATTGCATACAGCACCATATATAATAATTACAGGGTGAATAATAAATGCATAAATGACAATGATTTGTGACAAAATAAATAGCCTAATGAAATATCCAGCATACCATTATCCACAGAAAAGAGTAACTGATGCAATGCCTATACTGAAGCATTCGAATAATCTTAAAAGTGGCCTACCCCATCATAAACAAGCGCCTTCCAGGAATGCTCCAACTTCTTTATTAACCTGGATGACACATCAACAAAAAAATAGTTTAGTGGACCACGTGCCTTCATCTTACTACTGCAGTACTTTAAAACTAGTGGCTGAGCAGGTAGTAAAATAATGTTATTTAAGCTACCTGTAAGACTGTAGGATATCAATAATGCCCATAAATAGCAGCAGCTTTTCTCCTCTATGGCTTTTAGCTGGAATGCCTCCCATCCTGACAGCAAAAACAAAAACAATTTTGAGACATTGTACCTTGTTCCAAAAAAGCCATCAGTGAAATATACTGCATTAACTCAGTCAGAATAAAAGTGCTTGTTATTTAGTTTGAAACTGATTTTAAAAGCAGATCCCTTCCCCCCCTTTTCATATATTTCATTGTTTTCCTGTCCAAAAAAGTCAATTCATTCATTTTCTTATACAATTAATGTTACTTATCACTCACCCGGTATCTATTCACTCAAATACGTGTGGTACATCGCCAATGATCTTAGGAATTAAGGCATGCAACAGTGCTCTTGTGTTTCCATGATGGATAAACAAAAAAATTAACATTTTATGATCTTTAACAGAACATGGTCATTCCTTTTTCCAAGAAAGTTTATTTTTCCCCATTATATATTCTTAGATTTCATAGTAATATTCAGAACGACAAAATGGGACTTAGAATATCCTGTAATTATCTGTTATTAAAGTGTAGATTTTAAGGACTTACGTATCAGTACTTTCTGTGATGACACAGTCCCCAGATTTTCCTGGACCCTGTATTGATTCCATAGCTGTAGAATAAAGAACTCTTTGTCCTCCTGGACGTTTAGAATCAGATGTGCTTTGAGATGGCTCGCCTTCTCTGTCTTTTGCTGCAGTGTCCAACATATGGATTCCAAGAAGCAAACTATAATCCATGATTTTAAAGCTTTCCAGAACCTGGCAATAAAAGAAATCCTTTTTTTAAGGCTAACACTAATTACACTGCAAACGTCACAGAAGTATGCATGAATTCTGTTCATACATCCTAAACACATACACAATAAAATCAGAAACAAACTGTACACTTTTATATCAGAATGGCAAAATATGGAAATAAAAATAGAATTACAGTTCATCTATGGAATGATGTGAATTATATAAAAGGATATGCAAACAAGCTGAGAAACCAGAATCTAAAACCAACATCAGTCTCAATTTTATCAGGCAACTGAGATGACCAAGACTTGTTAGTCAACTCTAATTTAAGTCTCATTGTGCAAAATCTTGTAGTGTAGCTTTGTGCCCAGCGCAACTCAGATTCAGCACTGTAAACATTTAATTCACACTAATTAAAAGCTTCCTATGCCATTGTTTTAGGTTCTGAGGCTCCCTAGGCTCCCCTTTGCCCTGGAGAAGCCTTTGGGAACCATTGATTTTAATGTTTATTCTAGTTGGGAAAAAAGTTTGATTTAGCTTAAGAATATCTGTATCATGACATATGACAAACACTGTATTTCTCCTGCACAATTTAGAAGGCCTCAGTTAAGGAGGAATTAACAGAAGGAAGAAGAGCTGAAAAGAAGGAGCTAACAACAAAAAATATAATTCTGATTTCTTATTTTCAAAGTATGGCAAAGGAGGGGCTCTGACCATAAATCAGATTTCTATTATAACTAACAAAATTGATTCCATATTATTACATTGCATTTTTTCTAAATTACATCCAAGTGGGGAACCTTAAACTTGATTATTTTTGTGGGTTCTCTCTAGGAACTGAGAGAGTAAAGTCTATGAATGGAAAGCACAAATGTCCTGACTCTTAAACATGCACCTGTAAAAATATACACAAAAACACACAAAATGCCAGTGCACCGCCTGCATTTCCATCTTTTTATTGCTTATACAGAAAAAAATAAGCACTGCTAAATACAGTGGTGCCTCACTTAACGACGATAATCCATTCCAGGAAAATCGCCATTAAGCGAAAATATCGTAAAGCGAAATTAAAACCCCACTGAAACGCATTGAAACTCGTTCAATGCGTTCCAATGGGGTAAAACTCACCGTCCAGCGAAGATCCTCCATACGGTGGCCATTTTCGCTGCCTGTATAGCAAGGAATCCATCCCTAAGCACAGCGGGGAGCCATTTTAAGCACCCAGTGGCCATTTTGAAAACCGGACGATCAGCTGTTTTTGATCGTCGTAAAGCAAAAATTGGTTCCCGAAACAGGGAACCGATCATCCCAAACCAAGTTCCCCCACTTAGACCATCGTTTTGCGATCGCAAAAAGATAGTCGTAAAGCGGATTTGTCGTAATGCGGGGCAATCGTTAAGCGAGGCACCACTGTACGTTACAGCTACATTGCAATAAATACAAACTGTCTATTTCTATATATTACAATTTTAGACATTCTATCCAGTATCCTTATCCCATCCCCTGGATTCACACACTGAGAGGCTAGTGAGACGACACAGGTACAAAAGCTTCTGGATATCGTTACTCCAGTATTTCCTAAACCACGTAACTAAGACAGTATTTTCTCCTGCTAGATGTACCATCAGGCAATGATGTCCCATTGCTAGCTAGGATTAGGTTTTTCCTTCACATCTCTGTTTTTGAAGCAAAAAAGGAGAATGCAGTTGCATATACTTTACAGTTGAAAAAGAGAGAATATACTGGGATGGGTTTCCAATGGAAGATTGCTAAAATGTACACCTGATAGATACATGAACACATCGAAACATCTTAAGATTCAAACCTTTGGTATATCTAGCCCATAAGAGGACCATCTCTAGCCTGTGGAGGTCTCCAGGCAACTCTCACTCCTCCACAGGCCCCTATTTTGCAAGACCTGTTCCTAGAGGCTACTCTGAAGATAATGCAATAGCCAGAATCCTGTTGGTTAATTATGATGGTGTTAAGTTAAATGGCATGAATTGCAGCAGAGAACTGCCACTAGTTGACATATCATCACTTGTCTCTTTTGCCACGTATCAGTCAAGTGAACTGATGCACAATTGATACAAGCAGCAACCCATTAGCTAGTAGCAACTCACCAGACTTACACCATTTGACTTCTACCAGCACAACTAAACAAGATTCAAGACAACTAATTCTTTCAAAGCTCTGAGCATAAATGATGTTTAACAACAAATTAACTCATTGAGGTTTGCTGGAATGAAGGGGATATTGGCCAATTGCTTCTCTTTTCCTCATTTCAGTCTTACTTTAGAGAAACAATAAAATGTAGAACAATATGTAGAACCGCTGGTTCTTGTCTGTTTGCCCATAACATATGCAGATCTTGATTTTGTTTTTTGGAAGTAAAAATAACTTGTCTCATGAGAGTATAGAGTAGTATTAGCAAAATGATTGCTTAGTACATTGATGTTGCAGAATTGTGTCTGAACATTTCCAATGATATCACCACAATACTAGAGAAACATCATGTTTTGTGGTGGTGGATGTAGGTATAGTCCAATAGCCATCAACACCTTAGGACTGTGACCCAAGCCAATGCATCTTCTATAGTTTCCCCCCCCCCCAAAAAAAAAAACAAAACAAAACAATTCAAAACACTGCAAACTAAGTTTTAGGTAGATAGACTGTGAAGAGGAGCATTCAATATTAAATTTTTATTACCATTGATACCATGGCCCATTATTTAATAGTTTAGTTTGATTTACTACAAGTGCTTTAACAGTTTTTAGGTATTTTTATTTAAATAAAATCCAAACATCTAATTGCACTTGCAAACTAATATGAAACCTTGAACATATTCGTATTAACATGAATTGTATTTTCAATGAAAGTTATTAGGAATTTGTTATCAAAATATAGTTTGTTTATTCCTTCTTCTGTAAAACAAAACACAATCTTAGCATCATTATAAATACTGTAGCTTATTTCAACATTGTGGGCTCCACTGGGTTATACAATGAATAATAACAACAATCCAACTGTATCAGTAGGCACAGATAGCCTATAAAAATGAAGCAAATACAAGATACATATATATATCACACCAAGATAAACACTTAGAAATTCAGGACCCTTATTTTCTTCAACTAATTGGGAAAGTGTATTTATTTCACTTTCCTATAAAGCAAACATCAAATCAGGACACTGTACAATTATTTTACTCTAGTCTGTAATGCACGGATATGCATACATTCAGTTGTGTCAATGCTCCGAAAGATTTAAAGTGAAGACCCCCATTATGCTAGCAAAGTAAAAACATTTTTCACATGTAGAACATGCTGTAAGCCCAACATGCCAATACGCAAGTAAATCAATACATAAAATACCTTGGTCAGAATTCTACAGATTTATACAACCTTTCCAGGCTGTTCACTGTATGTCTTATTCTCCCTACTGTGCAACTTGGTCATGTGATGGGAATATGATGACCAGCTAGGGGAAAATAAAAACTGCCTGTATGGTTGCCCTAATATGCACAGTTTTCCTCAGAAAGAATGAGTCATGAGTTTAGATCTTATGGTGCCATTCCAATGCCATTCTAGCAGTACAACTTGGTGGGAGAGGATGATGTGTCCTATTTCTTAGCAGTCCCCTCATTCACCATCGGATATGCTCTGGTGGTCGGGACCCACCAACCCCTGAAGGACTTTCAGGACGTACAGAGAACGTAGAGAGCTTCTAGGTGGAGCCATGTTGCATCAATCAATTTCTGTTTGTGGGTTGTTCAACTTATCCCAACATATTTAGCATACAATGCAAACAAAACATAGAATAATAAAAGTAGCAGAATGCAAAATGCTTAAAAAAAGGTATCACAAAGTGTTTGTGCTCTAACCACTGCTAAAATCAAACTGAAAAGGGCTATGATGATGCAATTGTCTGAAAAAGATTCTGTACAATGTTCCTGGTCCAGTGGTTAGAGCACGTTTTTCTTTAAAATTGAATCTGATGAGGAATTCCTGGTGGACGAGTGGTGATGGTGGTTCGCAAATCTTTCACCAAGTGTTTGTGCTCTAACCACTGGACCAGGAACATTATGAAGAATCTTTTTCAGTCAATTGCACCCTCACAGCCCTTTTCAGATTTATTTTGGCAGTGGTTAGAGCACAGACACTTTGTGATACCTTTTGAAAGTTACTCCTTTTGTATTCTGCTACTTTTATTACTCTGTTCTGTTTGCATTGTACGCTGATTATTGTTGGTAGAAGCTGAACAACCCACAAACAGAAACTGATAGATGCAGTATGACTAAAGCATACTAATACATGTGGACTCTACTATGTTTAATTCCCAGTGTTCATCAAAAGATTAAATGCTGACATTTAAAATATTGATTTATCCATTAAATGTATAGCATATATAAACAGCATAATATTGTACAGTAAAGAGCACAATTTTAGATATACAGAAGTAATGTAAGATATTCTGTTATATTTTCTTACTTTTTATTCTAAATTAGGTGAAGAAGGCTTGAAACTGTTCTTAGGGAAAAAAACAAAATTGGTCTCAAAACACCAGTAATAAATGCCTTCTGAAACAATTGTTTATATGCTTACAACAGTACACACGAGAATAAAGGTAAAAGTGTTTTAGACCTCTGTAGATTATCTTACCATGTCATAATGTCTAAAAGACAAAATGGAGACCTATCCATAGAATATTAACCAGCTTAAAAGATTAAAAATCCAAAGCTATGCTTCTTCTGATCAATGATCATAATGAATAAGCTACTGAAAGCCTGGCACCTGCGCTGTGGAACCGATGTCTGGTTTGCAGCCTGGAACATTGTTCAGCTAGTTCTGACCAGGCACGCACAGAACTGAGCCATGCTTTGTTTGCTCAATGGCAAAGTGTCCAGACTGGTAAGAATTACATGTGTCCTTATCATTCAGTTTTGTCCCCAGGCTTTCCACTGCTAAAATGTACTCATAACTGAAAGATCTGCGAACCACCACCACCACTTTATCCAGCAG